AAAATGAAAATTTCTGTAAAATGAAAATTAAAATAAATGAAAATTAAAATAAAATGAAAATTAAAATAAAATGAAAATTAAAAAAAATAAAAAAATTAAAATAAAATCTTAATTAAAATAAAATGAAAATTAAAATAAAATGAAAATTAAAATAAAATGAAAATTAAAATAAAATGAAAATTAAAATAAATGAAAATTAAAATAAAATGAAAATTAAAATTATGAAAATTAAAATAAAAATGAAAAAAATAAAATAAAATTAAAATCGAAATGAAAAATTAAAATAAAATAAAAATTAAAAATAAAATTTTTAAATGAAAATTAAAAATAAAATAAAAATTAAATATAAATGAAAATTAAATTAAAAAAAATTAAAATAAAATAAAATAAAATGAAAATTTTGAAATAATAAATATTTATAAATTTCTCAGTATTAAAAAAATTTAAAAAAAAAATTAAAATAAATTTAAAAATAAATAAAATTAAATAAAAATTAAAAAAAATTAAAATTAAAATAAAAAAATAAAAAAATAAAATAAAATAAAAGGATATAATATCACATACATAAGGACAATAACTAAGTGGTTTTTATAAAGATTTATTACTGAAAATGTTGAATGTTTTCTAAATATGATTCAGAAAAATTTTTTTTTTTTTTTTTATTTTATTAAAAATTGCTGATTATATTGAAATTAAGAAATTTTCAGTGAAAGGGCAGCTGATTATAGTTCTATTTTGATAGATTAAAAATTGTGTCGGAAGAAAAATGGTCCAGAATATGTCTGCACAGAGCCCATGGCTTTTTAAATTTCTCTGAAAATTAATTCCACAGTTTCAAAAGGCCGTCCTCAGAGTAAAAATATCCCAAATTCTGATTTTATGGTGACACATAATCATCATTTTTCTCATGGACCTGAAATAGCAAAACAGAGATTTAAAAAAATATTAATTTTATTAAGCTGATTTTAATTCCAATCTTTTAAGATGAGTTCAAACATGGACATTTAAAGACAACTTAAAACCTTAACCTTTCAAGTTAAGGATCAATCAATCTATCCATTGTTTATCCTCAAAATCTTCATTCCTAATGAAAATTTTCCTTCATATCACATCATTATTCATCATAAATTTTTTTGACAGAAATATGTTTAGCTTGAAAACAATAGAAAATTGTAACTTTAATAATTAATTGAAAAAAAAACAATCTTTTTAAATATTTGAATTTTAACTATTTTTGAATTTGTTTAAAGAAAGGTGAAACGTTCTGTTATATGAACACAAAAAAAATCTCTTACAAAAATAGAAATAGTTTCATTGAATGTTTTTTGAAGGTTGACAATAGGAGTAATTTGTTTTTTGATGAAATGATTTATTGTCACTATTTGTTGTTTGAATTTTTCTCATCTCTACAGTCACATTCAAAAATTTTTTCAAATTTAACAAAATTTTTTTCTTCAGGATTTTAATATTTTTGATGAGTCTATTGTAACTATTTGCATTGTTGTCCCTTTCTTTTTTGTCATATTCACAATGTTTTCAAAAATTTGTACACTCTGAACTTCAAGTTTTGTATTTTTAAATTTTTAATGAACCCTTTATTTTTTTCATGGAGGGTAACTTGTTCTAGTTCCACATACCATGCCTTTTCTGGATATCTCAGTTTCAGTTATTTCCTTTAGTAACTCAACTCTCTAAGTTTTGTTCACCTCTGCTGTGGCCAGGAACTGAACTGAAAACTCATTGTAACTCACTGGATTAGTCAACCAATGCCATGTGTTTTGAGGGAATATGGGTATGGAATTTTGAGGGGGTATGAATTTAATGTCTCAACAATTAATTTTTGACAGAGCTTTTATTTAATTTTTTTTTTTTTTTTCAACATCTTGATTAAAATAATTCAGTTTTGGTTTATTCATGTTATGCTAAGATAGCAAGCTAAAATAAAAGAAGGGTTCAGTTCAAAATTATGTTATCACCTGAAGAAGGCCAGAGCATACAATGGCCGAAACATTGTGAATATGACAATAAAGATGAGGACGACTGTCCAAACAATGTAAATAACGTCTGAACAAATAAAATCATTCATTCTATTGATTTTCCCCTGTCAAGGTTGGTAATGGTAGTAACAGGTTTATTATAATAACAACAAAAATTGCAATATGAGCTCTGGTAAAAAAACATAGAATGATAACAGCAAAAATTACAATATGAACACTGGTAAAAAAAAATGATTGCTGAAGTCATTAGGTTTATAATACCCAGAAATTCATACACAGATGTCCTCAAAGACACATGGTGCAGTGGATAAAGGCATTGTTAGGGATCCAGTAATGTCAGATCAATACCCGTTAAGGCAAGGAGAACTTTCAGAGGGGAATTAACAGGAGATAATTGATATCCATTAAACATGACACATGGAACTAGAACAGTCTAAAAAGTGAGTTTGGGGGTTCAGTTCAAACCACCTGAAGAAGGCCAGAGCATTACAATTGTCAAATTTGTAATAAATATTTTAAATTGAACAATAGTCCTAATAATTGTTAGTGTTTAATAACTTATTCTCAGAAATAAAGGCAGATATTGAAAGGCACCGTTGTAATAAATATGGCAACAAATGATCGACAATAGTCCAATAATGTAAATAGTTATATAATATTCATCTCAGAAATAAAGGCAGATACTGAAGGGCCAAGACGTTGTAATAAATATGCCGACAATGATGAGGACAATAGTCCCAATAATGGAAATAGTGTACATAATGGTCATCTCAGAAATAAAAGGCAGATACTGAAAGGCACTCGTTGTAATAAATTGCCGACAAGAAAGAGGACAATAGTCCGAATAATGTTGATAGCCTACATAATTAACTCATCTCAGAAATAAAGGCAGATACTGAAAGGGCCGAGTGCTGCAATAAATATGAGGGAAATGATGAGATCCCTAGTCCTAAAATGTAAAACTGTACACCATACCTCATCTCAGAAATAAAGGCAGATAACAGGTTTTTGTTGTTATTTGTATCAACTGTCTGGGCTGGGAAGGTTGTTATGGAAGAGTGGTTTGCCCAATATGACAAAGATGAGAAAATTCATCTAAAATCAGAGAAATTGCTTTGTGCTAATTTGAAATTTAGAAAATTCCTTGGAGCACCAAAGATGAACTGAAGGCAAGGATTATAGCAGTCTTCACCAACTTAAACAAGGAGACTGCCCACAAGAGTTACAGAAGATTTCAAAGCCACCAGGAGGCTGGAGATGAAGCCAATGGTGATTTTATTGAATACATTTACTCTTTAGTATTTCAAACTATTTTTGTATAATTTTGGTAAATATATCTGTTCAAATGAGATGAGAATATTATTTTCATTATTGCATAATTTAGATGACAATTTATCCATCGCACCGTGTGTGTGTGTGTCTTTAAATGTCATTCAGTTGATACACATTTTTGAGTAGACATTTGGCTTTTTGTTTATTAACAGAAAAATTGTTATCTGCCACTCTTTGTTTTCAAGTCTTTAATAAAGACAATGTTCTCTTCAGCAGAGCTTGAACCAGCAACCCCATTTTATATAGTGAGAAACCACCTGGTGTGCTTTTAGACAGCTCAGCCATGGAGAACTTCACAGCAAATCAAACTCAATTCTTCTGTATTGGAAATATGAACAGAGTCATTTCTAAGGAATCAATAGGTTTTTTAATCCGACATTTAACATTACTATAAATGTATATTTTGTGGAGACATGTTTAAGTAGACAGTGTCCCTCTTTTCTTTAAAAAATGTGGAATGTTACAGACAACACTGGAGATATAACGAACGGTATGACTTGATACTTAAATTTTATAAAAAATAAACAATTTTCCTCAGACAAGTGAATCAGAGAGAGATGAAAAAAATTTGAGATGAATTTATAAAATGTCAAAAAAAAAAAGACTTGAATATTTGGGAGCGGTTTTGTTTTTTATTTTCTCTCAAGATGAGAGGTTTCTAAAAAAGATGTTGAGAAAGGAGGGAGGACAATGAAAATTTTGATTTGAAAGAGAGATAAAGAGAAAGAGATTGGAATGGAAGGGAGAGACACTGAGAATTGTGGGCTTAAACTGGTTAGAGAGATGAGAGAAACATTGACAGGGAAAGAAAGAACAAAGATTCAGACGGAGAGAGAGAGAAAAATAGAATGGATTTTTCAGAGAGAGAGAGAGAAACATTCAAAATGGAGAGAGAATTTAAAACATTCAGAAGAAGCTCTAAAAAATTCAGACGGAGAGAGAGAGAGAGAAACATTCAGACCCAGAGAACTTTGAGAGAAAAAACAAAAAGGAGGAGAGAGAGAGAGAATTTTCAGACGGAGAGAGAGAGAGAAAGAGAAAAATTCAGATATAGAGATAGAGAGAGAGAGAAAGGATTCAGACAAGAGAGAGAAAAGAAAGGAAAGATAGAGAGAATTTTGAGAAAAAATTCAAACGGAGAGAGAGAGAGATTTGAAAATGGCGGAAGAGAGAGAGAGAAAAGATTCAGACGGAGAGAGAGAGAGAGAAAAGATTCAGACGGAGAGAGAGAGAGAGAAAAAAGATTCAGACGGAGAGAGAGAGAGAGAGAAAAAGATTCAGACGGAGAGAGAGAGAGAGATTTAAAGATTCTTTTGGAGAGAGAGAATAAAATAGACGGAGAGAGAGAGAGAAAAGATTAAGGGGAGAGAGAGAGAGAGAAAAGATTTTTAGAGGAGAGAGAGAGAGAGAGAAAGATTCAGAGAAGAGAGAGAGAGAGAGAAAAGATTCAGAGAGAGAGAGAGAGAAAAGATTCAGAGAGAGAGAGAAAAGATTCAGAGAGAGAGAGAAAAGATTCAGAGAGAGAGAGAAAAGATTCAGACAGAGAGAGAGAGAAAAGATTCAGACAGAGAGAGAGAGAAAGAAAAGGCAGAACAAATACAAGTGGGGAAGAGAAACTAAAAGGTAAATAGAGGAAAGGGTAAAAAGAAAAGAGAAAAAGAGAATGAAAACTCAAGGAAGGAAAAGAGAAAAGCAACCTATTGAGGGAAAGGGAGAAAGCCTATGGAAAGCAGGGACAAGGGAGGGAAAGAATATGGGGAGTGGATGGGGGATATCTAAAGCAGAAGGGTGGAAGGGAGAGAATATAGGTGAGCAAAGGGTGAAGGGAAGGATTATGGGGAGGTGAAGAGAGTAAAGGGGTGGAGGAAGAGTAAGAATATGGGAAGCAGAGGGGAAGAAAAAGGAAAAGAAGAGAACCGGTTTCTGAAAGAGGAGAGAGAGGAGGAAAAAAAAAAAAATCCATCACAAAGAAAAGGGCTGACTATGGAACCATTATCTTCAAACTTTTGTTTTCTATGCCATTTTGTTCCATTTTAAATTTTTTTAAAAAAAAAATAACGTGTTTTTCTCAAAATCAATTTTCCCAAATATTCCATATTTGAGACATTCTTTTTTTTACTTTTTCACATTTTTAATCTTCCTCTACAATTATCTTTGAAGAAAAAAAGGTCAGGAAATGAGAAATGCATGAGGCTTTTATCTGGGAATCACATAACCTTTGACAAACTGTCCCAAGACAGCTTCCGAGTTCCAACTTTCCTGCAATGCCAAAAAAACAGCCACAGAAATACTTAAATCAAACATGTTTAGTACCTGTTGATAAATTCCAATCAAACAGGAATGACACTTTTCAAAAAAAAAAAAATAAAAAATAAAACAATGAAAGATAAAGGTCAATGGCAATAAAAAGAAAGAAAAAAAATCCCCAAATGTCTGTCTGTCCGTCAAAATGTCAAAAAGAATGCCATGCATTTTGCATTTCGCTTTAGCAATCAGGTCTTTTTTCGGTTTATGATTGACTTAACAGAATTCTTACAGTATCCTGCCATTATTTTCTGCAGTAGACTGGTTGTCAACCAATGCTATAGGACCTTGTCTGTCTTGCTAATTAATCCATAGCTTTAAAGAAGAGAAACATTCACAAAAATTTAAAAGAGTATTTACATAGAAGTGAATGTTACAAGCTCTAATTTTTCAATCCGAAATTTTATCAAAAACACCATCATGCAAAAATTTTTTACAGCAGCTGGTATTCCCAAGCAGTCACCCATCTAGATAGTGACCAGACTCAACACTGCTTCTCAGATGAGAACTAATGTCTCAACATATGGCCATAAAATTTACTTAAAAAAAAAAAAAAAAAAAATGCCCATCTGTCATTCTAATGATTTCAAATAAAATTATACAGCACATGCTAAAAGTTACTATCATCTCATATACATTATACAGCTATTATCTTATTATTGTCATTATTAATTTTGACAAATGCTAAATTCTGCAATGTTTTTTTTTTCATTTATGGTAACTGGTATTTTGAATGATTGCTTTAAGGAAATTAAAAATCTGTATTTGATAATGTAATAATGAAAAAATTGGCTGGCATCTAAGTTTAGTATCTGCCCTGATAAACTACATTTCATCTCTCAATTATGCCTGTCTTCAGACGGGGCAATATTGAGGTGTATATCTGTCTTCATTCAGAGTGCAAATGAAAATATAACTGAGAGATGACCAGTCTTGGAAAAACAAAAGTTGCCCATTTAGCAGTACTCTATTAAAAGCACAATAAAGAGTTTAATCAAAAATTGAAAAAAAATTGTTGCAGGGGTTTGGGTATTTTTAAACCTGGCCTTTTCAATTTTTAACATCAAATCAAAAATTAGTATTAAATCGCCCTGTGACACATATTTCCAGTGTGGGTGGCAAAAATACAATCACTATTTTAATATGATTTATCAAATGAAGTATCTGTTTTCATTTCTTAATCTCATTCTACTTCTATTATAAATATATGTGAATATATTCCTTTTTTTTTTTTTAATTCATTTTCAAAAACTGAAACCAAGTTTTGTTTTTTGTTTAACTTGACGAAAATAGGGCGTAATTAGTATTTTCAAAAAGGGAGACATCAATTATTCTGGGATTATGTATTTCAAGAGATGATTACATCAGGTGGGTTGTTTATATGTCTGTGTGTCACATAGTTTGTCCCAAATGTGCACATCATGTTTTCATGATGTAAGCAGCCATTGGCATCTAGTTTTTCAATGCAAATTTCAAAAAATTAAACTAAAAAGAATACAAATGCTGATGCACCTTTTTGATTTAAAATCGAATGCAAAGCTTCATTTTATCTACTGACATTTATGTAAATTTATGAAAGAATCATCAGGCTTTCTCTTTTTATTTGAAAAAAAGATATTTAAGCAAGCCCAAAAATTCAAATCAAAGACGTTTAATTTTTTTTCACTTTTTGAAGAAAATGAACAATGGATAATATCCAGTTTGCCTGTGGTGATTTGAAAAAGTTATGAATTCATTTCATTTTCCTACACAGTAGATCAAAAGACCCCGGTAAAAAATGTAAGTTCACAAATTCACCTCCTCTCGTTTATATAAGAACATATTTTAACAAATCTGAAAGCATCAGAAGGAAAGAAACAAGTTAAGTCAAATGTTTTTAAACATTAGATACCAACTCCACAGTCATATTAGCAGTTAGAGCTCAACAAAAAGGAAATAAATACAATATGGGAGCCATTAATAAAGACAGAAAATTACTTTGACAATTCAAGGCTTTTGTAACTATATCTAGAAACAGAAACCATGGTGAAAATGGTAGTCAATAATTGGAATACAGCAGGCAGGTTAAATTTAAGGAAAAAAAAATTCAATAACCTTGTATTTATGTAAAATAAAGAGAAGGCTTTTAAATTTAACAATATTTTTTTTTTTTTACCTTTAAATGATAAAAGGGTTTTTTCTAGAATTGTTCCTGCCACTTCAAAAATTTTTCTGTAAAACCATGAATCAATAGCTTCATCTACCGTAAGGAAAGAATGGTTCTCTTTATTGTGCCAGAAAAAATAATGGATTTAAAACACTAGGTTGGTATCTCAGTCCCACCCTTTCACTGACAAACAGTTTAAATGTAGCAGTATCTTCTACTTAAACAATTTTTGTCTTGGACTTCCTGTCTTTACTCCCTTCCTCTTACTTGCTTCTCTAATAGCTATAATATTTAATTATTCAAGTAAAATGTCAACCAACATCTCCAGATGCCTTGATCTATTCCCTGTCCATCCTTTCCTCTTTCATGCCTCTTTACTCTTGCTCCCACTCTCTGTAACCCCTTGCATGCTAGTGCCACTCCCGCCCTGCTTGGGGTGAAAAGTTTTTAAAATATTTATAGTGATTTTCCAAGCGTAGCTTAGATGTGGCACAAGGCCAAAAGTATGGGGTACCCAGTGAGGATTGAATTCACTACTCTGTTATATTGAGAGTCCATCATCCAAATCTATAAATCGACCATCCATCCCTGCATGGAATATTGCTGTCATATATGGTCTGGTGCCCAAACTGTACATCTCGAGGTCCTCAACAAAATCCAGAGACAAATATGCAATATGATAGGTCCTGATCTGGCATCTAGTCTACAGTTTCCTTCTCAGATGTGTCGTAGTTTCCCTCTGTCTCTTCTACAAATATTTTCGCGGCAACTTTTCCGACAAGCTACTTTCACTGGTTCCCAGACTGCATGAATTTAAGCGAGCTACGAGGCTGGCATCTAAAAGAACCGTTTTCGCTGTTGAAACGGTTAAATGTAACCGCCACTTCTACTCAAACAGCATCTTCTCTCTCGCACTTCCCGTTTGTGGAACTTGTATTCCCTTTACTTGCTTCTCTGATGACTATAATCTCCAAACATTCAAATGTAATGTCAATCGCCATCTGATATGTTGATCTTGTTCCCTGTCTTTCCCTGTATCCTTTCCTCAAACATGCCTTTACTCTTGTTCTCAATCCTTTGAAATATAGTTGTGGTCTGTATGCTTGTGGGTATTTCCAACTTGCTTGGGGTGAATTGCTTAAAAAAAAAAAAAAAAAAAAAAAAATGAATACCTGTTTTAAAACAGCTATACTTTTCTTTGTATTGTGCATATAGATTTAAATTTTTGTACACAAATAAAAGAATGAGTAATATTTTGATGTAATGCATTACATTTTGCATGCATATTTTGACATTGAAAACAAAACTGAAATGCAAAATAATTCAACGTATTTTAACTTTTATTACTCCTTTTGGAGTTCTGGGGGTGCAATAAGAAGCAAAATCACTAAGAAAGCTTTCATTTCATCAAAAAAAGTGACATGTTTCCTTGTGTTTACAAACAAGAAGACACTAGCATTTGTTTGTTCTTTCTTTCACCGACTCATATTTGTCTCACTGACGTTCTTGTTGATATATAAAGTTATTATTTTGTCGTTTCTAAATAGACAAAATAATTCACCTTCAGAAAGGCTATCAGAATATCGATGGCCGACAGTAACTTCCATAAAATTAGTCAGCCATGGATGATAGCTGCTAGTGGTCATCATCGCTTTCCTCCACATCACTAGGATGGTTATCATCTTCGACCACTTCACTGTCAATATCCACTCAAGTAAAGCCTTCAAAATCACCTTCAGAGTCCTAATCAAAGAAAAACTCCTGAATAAAGGCTTTGTTGGATATTGATGTGGCTAATTTTGTTTACAAAAAATTGCAAAAAATTTAACATGCTGTTTAATCAATATTACACCTTGTATAGAGTCTAGAAGAATTCAAAATGGTATTAGAAAACAAAGTTTAATCTCATTCCAAAGCAGTAGTAAGCAGTTTCCAGCTTAAAATACTGTTGACACATGTTTATTTATAGCAACTGTCTCAAGGTGACAGAATGCAACTAGAGAACCAAAGGGAGAGAATTCTACGGCGACAACTTTCGCCTGCATTGGGGTAGTGGTTAATAGTTTTAAATGTTTTTATATAGCAATCATTATTGTAGAAAAAATAATGCCATGTTATCAAAAATATATCAATCGTTTAGATTTACATTTTTTACATTGTTTGGACTGTTGTCCTCATCTCTATTGCCATATTCACAAAGTTTCAGCCATTGTAAGCTCCGGCCTTCTGGTGATTGGAATTTCAAACTGAACCCTTTATTTTGTCCACTGGGATAGATTGTTCTAGTTCCACATGCTATGCCTCTCCTGGATGCCACAGTTATCTCCAAGTTCCAGGTATTGAACTCACAAATCTTTGGATCAAACCACTGGATCCAACCAACACTTTTATCTACTGGGCCATGTGTCCTTGAGGACATCAGTGCATCAATTTTTGGGACATAAACTTAATGTCTCAGTACCGTTTTTTTTTTTTTTTTTTTTTTTTTTAACAGAGCTCATATTGCAATTTTGTTGTTATTCATAGCTTTTCTGTAGGATTCTGTATTACTGGTTCCCATATTGTATTCATTTCTATGCTTGGTCAAATTATGAGATTTTTTTTGGTCCTGATATGCTGATTCCTTAAGTTTCCATATTTTCAAGTGATGTTCCCCGTCT